TAGCTTGCACTATCTAAGTGACAAATACAAATATTATTTGGACGGGTGCGAGAAATGCAAAATCCATCATCATTTTTACCGTATTTTGTGCTGCATCCATTAAAGCATTTATTTAGGTGGCATCCTCATTCAAAAAGGACAATATCAAATATTTTTACAGCATTTACCTTACATCTTATCACTTGCAAATGTAATATCTCAACAATATAAGTAATAAGCACATATTGGAGTATGGTACATAACGAAACACTTATTTTAAGGTTGCGATTGTTTAGACAAGCTTTTTTTTTTTTTTTTGCTATTTTAGGTTGAAAAAAAGTTCTTAAAATAAAAATTTTATCCAGAAGTAATGAAGAGTATGAGTGGGAATATGGAATAAGATGAGAAGTTCTTCGTGGCTTAATTTTGTGATGCCTGTTTTTTGTCATGAATATGTGAAATGATTTTAAGGTAGTGTGATTTTTGTTGTTTTTATAAACGAATATTTGAGAGAAATAATTAGATAATCTTCTCTATTCTTATCCTTTGTAAGGACATTTTAATACCAATCAATCCTATCTTTTCTGTTCTTACCCTATGTAAGGAGATTTTGATACAATCCTTGATTTCGGCCAAAAAAGAATAAATTCCTTAAAATAATAATCACTCATATAAGTTTAAGGTCCTTTTCATGATGAAGATAGAAATATACTTAATTAGATATCCTAGATAATAATGAATTGAGTTCCTTGTCTAATTTGAGCTAGAGTTTTTATTTTATATATTCAAAACTATATTTTTGTTTGAATGAGGCGTATCATGTAGTATTGTAGTAATTTCTCTAAGTCTAAAATAGTTATACTTTTGATTCTTTACACCTAAATTTAAGTAGTAATATTTTCTCATCATATGGAATGATAGTTTTAATGATTTTTTATTCAATTATATATTTTTTTGACCTGATTTTTTAAGTTCCTAACATCTAAAATCTAACAATTAGGTCATCGCTTTTATCATTTGTAAGTCAATGTAATTAATACCACTACTTTTGCAATTAAGGTTTGTTTGAAGCAGTGCATGTTTGGCCCACCTTTGAAAAGATCTTCTTAGCTACGAAAGTTCAAGTTAAATGAAGTTATGATCTTTTGATTTTTTAAAGCCAATCTCTAAACCCTTTTCTTTTAGAATAACTTTTGTTATTAAGTTTTTTAATTAGATTTTTTTTATTAATTTTATTAATTTTTTTTATTGTTATATATGAATTCATTGTTTAGCACTTTTGTAAAATGTGTTCACCGAAAGATTGTCTATAAATGCTACATTTAGATCAAACATATTGACATAGAGATGTAAAACACAAATGCATTTTCTTCTCTTCTCGCCCTTTTCTCATCATTGTTTTTTTTTTTTTTAAATCTATTATTTAAAAAAGTGGAAAAGTGGAAAAGTGAAAATAAGTGAAGGAAAAGAACAGATGACGTGAAATCACTTGCATTAGACTTGATTTTTATCTTTGGAGGGATTTAAAGGCTAATTTACATCATTCAAGGGCTTATTTACATTATTTTAATTTAGAAGCTCACATGTTAATTTGGGGTAAGTTGGGAGGCTTAAGAGTGTGTTTTACTAAGAAATTATCTTTCATTTAAGTCCAATATCCTCTCTATGATGAGAATCAGAACATATTACAAGATATTTTAGATAATAGGGAATTTCTTGTCTAATTTGAAGGAGAGTTCCTATCTATCTATTTAGAGGGCTAAATTTAATAGATACTTTATTAGTTATGTAGTTTATTTCAATTTAGTTTAGAGACAATTTTTTCTTTTAAAATGATATAAAAATTATTAATTTTGTATTAAAATGGTCTACTTAACAAACATTAACTAGACTTATGGAATTCTTTCTAGCTGTTAATATGATGCCACCTAATTCATTACTTGTATGCCATGTGGCGTAAAACACACGAAGGGGAGTTGGTGTAGACAAGCTACCCCCTAAATTTTTGAAAAATATTAAATATAGTATATATATTTTTATTTTTTGTAATAGTTTATTTTTTGAAGTTTAAATTTTTTTTGTTAAATGTAGTAATTAACTAAAATAAAATTTCAATTTACATTAATCAAGATTCTA